GCTCCTTTGGCAGGTACACGTAAATTCATGAATACAGTTGGAGGTAACACGAAAGGGGTGATTGTCAACCTTTGATTGAGTTATTGAAAATGTTGTTTTATACAGAATTAATTAGTTTTGCTGCCGGATAAGTTCTGGCTAATGCAGTGTTGAGTCTCCTGCTGATTGTGTTTGCGACAGCATCACCTTTTGAAGTCGAAATTTATAGATGTTAGTTTTCTCTTTATATTCGTCAATAAATTTCTGTGGGTAACAGTTGTCTCTTAAGCATTTTTCAACGTTCATCAATTCTTCTTCCAGTTTGTCAATGGTACATATCCTTTCTACCCTATAAAATAGTGTTTTAACCCTTGCCTCCTTGTAACTGATTGGACAGAAAGTACCGAGATTCATGTAAAGGCCATCCCAAGTACTTTTTCGATAAAAACTGAACGTTGAACTGTCCCGTCTTCTCTACGTTTTATGGCAATATCAAGAAAGTGGAACTTGTCATTCTGTTCGTGTTCCATAGTGAATTGTATGTTAGGATGAGGATTATTAAAGAGTTTTAACAGGTAGATTGCATGCTTTTTTGTTACAGACAATAAACTTGTCATAAACATATCTAGAGTATTCTGTCGTTTCGCTAATTGTCTGTTTAAGCACCATATTTTCAAGATACCCTATAAAAATATCTGCCATAATTGGACTTAATGGACTTCCCATTGCTACGCCATCGATTTGACGATATATACTGTCGTTAAACTGAAATTGAACGTCTGTTGTACACATTAGTAGTAGTTTTTTGAATTCTTGGGCTAGTAAAGATAGATCATAATTCTAACAAATTATATCAATAGTTTCAAAAAGTGATGTAAGACAGTTCGCAATAATCTTTTCCCACTGACTATTGTTCTTATTTTTAGTCTATTATTTATTCATTTATTGTGTCTCAGTGTTACATTTTCTGTTGTTATGTGAATAGACTTGTTCTCAGCATTTTTAGATATTTACTCTTTTTGCTAAGTTCTTGACTTCTCCCTCTTCAATCATATAAATGATTAGTGTTTATAGTGTTGTGTGTTAATTGTCTGAACTATCTAGTTCACATAGATAGAATCCAATTGTTCAAAATTATCATAAGCTATGAAAAGAAAAGAAAAACCCAGAACAAGTTTACCTACTTTCTATCTTAATCTATGAGCAACTTTTTTCTTCCAAATAATAATTATTTTCAGAAGGGGTTTTGTGGAGATTGTAGTAATTTCAAGAGTTGAGATCATGAGTCAATTGAAGCTAGACCACCATGGAAAACTCAGAAGCACTGGACGGCCGTTTCGTTCTATTGTGAGACTCTTCAGCAATGCGCATCCACGACCCCGCCTCGCGGGATTCCAACCCAGGACCTATCAGTTTCGCGCCAGGCGCTTAACCAACCAGAACACTGAGCTGAACGGCATCCAACGGTGTTAATGTCTAACCTCAACTAATCCACAAAATTGAGTGACACATCCACTATTGTCTTCAGTCAGTTACTATCTCACAACTGACCCGAGTGAACTCCACTGGTCACTACTTCTCACTAGAACTCCAGGATTATATCTCTTGAAACCAGTCACTAGTGAGCATATGTTGATTCGTATCAGAAGGGGTTCAATTGACTCATGATCTCAACTCGTGAAATAATTATTTTCTTTGGAATTATGTGTGCAATAAAGTAGTTTTTTGTACTTTTGTGTATAAATTTCTTTTTCTTTCTTTCTTCCTTTCTTTTTTTTTTGTCCGACAGGTTTATTCAACATTAGTTTATTTAGCAACTAATCCATTACAAACATTATTAACTATTCCTACTAGTTTATTATCAACATCATTAATTTATCATCAATCTACATTTACATATTATATATTATTAATGAAACAAAAATATTGTTTACTTGCTTTTGGTCAATTAACACGTGCTTTCATTGGATTATTATGGAGACATGGTGATCAATGTTTTCAATCATATACTGATTGTTTACCAGATTATTTTTGTTTAATTACTAATTTATCACGTTGGTTTCAATATACTAATCGTATACAATTAGTAGGAAATGATAATTATCACCATGAATTGAATCATTCATTTAATCTTAATAATAATAATAATAATAATTTCACATTAAGACCTGAATTAATTGAAGAATTGTATGATTTCGAGTCTGGATTAGAAACTCCATCAAATTCAAATGTTTTTTGATCTTGTTGTTTTTCTTCCCCATCATCTAAAATACATCATTGTTCAATTTTGTACATTTTGTAAATAAGTTTGTTATTGTTGTGTAATGTTTTTTTTGTTTTGTTTTCATTCTGTATAGATCATTACTACTCTTCTTCATTTCTTTTGAACATTTCCTCCCCCCCACACAAATTATCGTTCTGTTTACCTCCTGATGTAGTGAATTGTTCAATTCTCTTTGGTTATTTTACATTGCATTTCGTTTCCTCTTTGTTTTCAGAGAGAGAGAGAGAGAGAGAGAGAGAGAGAGAGAGAGAGAGAGAAACAACAACATACTGTTCTGTAAATATTATTGAATAAAATGACTTGTAATTTTGTAACGTGTAGTTTTTATTTTACCTTTCTGATTAGTTTATTGTTGTGAATCCAAGAGTAGCGTTGTTTATTAATCAACCTCTAAAAAAAGGTTAAATATTTATCAAAAAGAATTTTTACCATGTTAATAATTATTTATTTTGCGGATTGATTTTAGTGGACACGGAGGGTCCACCTAGAGGAGTTGGAAAACCCTGATTCCAAACTAATGTTGCACATGGGCTCCAGTATCCTGGAAGAACAAATGATGTATGAACCAATCGTTAGTCATCAGCTACCATGGGACTGCATCTCCTAACGTTGCTCCAGACCTTTAGGTCGAAAGCTCCGGGTGTGGCCTTCTAAGAAAACCACCTGCTTGGGTTTGGGCACCCGAGCAGTATTCCAGCCCTCATATAAATCGAGTGATTTATGTGGCGCATATGTATCTGGTGCCTCCTTGTACTAATGTTTATGTGTTTAAATAACTAAATAAATCAATAAAAGGATTGATGTTAACCCTGGCGCCTTTAATGCTTATCAATTATGTTGTAACGAATACATTTTGGTGATATTTTCCCCATTCATTTAGTGGATGATTGCTGCCGATTCAAGTGTAATTTTCATTAAAGATTTCATTTTTGAAGCTGTAACTTTTATTATATTTGTGCTTTTAATTTGGCATATGTTAGACATGTCCACAATGTTCCTAGAAATAGTTTCGGATAACTTCATCCTTTTGTAATGAAATCGTCCGAAGAGAATTACACTTTTCCACAAAGCATATCCACTAAATGAATGTAAAAATAACCGAAAATGCTGGATGAGTGTTTTGTTAAAATGTATATGGTCGATTTTTGGACGGTTTTTTTACGGTCTGTTGTTTTTTGAGGAAGCTATGGTTTAGGAGGTGACAGTACTCGACTTTCAACTACTAAGTTCCAGGTTCGGATATTCCGACATATACTGCAGTTTGGGCAACCGGGCGGTCTTACTAGACCCCACACCTGAAGTATAGTTCAAAATTGACTTGAAAGCACTCATTCCAGTCAGTAGCTGAAGAATGATAGCAAATAAGGAGTCAGTAACCAGGATTTTCTCAGGAAATCACTCATTATGTCATATAGGATTACTTCCTAAAGGATACAGGATTTTGAATAGATATCTCTCTTTCATCTCATCGGTCAAATGTTTAGAACAGCAAAAAAACATTGTTTAAATTTCTCGGTATATTTTCTTTTGACAGTTAATTTCTGTGCAAGCCCAAGTTGTTCGATCGACATGATTGTTTTTCCAGTTACGTTTCACAGACTATGTTTGATAAATCCATTTAAAAAACTCAACATATATATAAGTTTTTTCAATATGGGCTTATTGAGGTTGTTGAACTTCATCGAAGTCATGAACTGATCTGTGTTCAATGCTTTCAGTGGAATATTTGAATGTTATTTACAATGCAAATGTATCGTAACGTGTACGTGAAATTTGTCAATCTAACTCATCCATCATCAAGTTAGTGTTTATGTACTCGAATCTGCACCCAACCGTTTCTGTGAAGGCTGATGATATCCAGCTGTCGAATTAGAATTAGCTAGTTTGGATTCAAAATCATGACATATTTGTTAAAAACTGCACACACTACTAATACTTTATTGGTCAATTAAGATACTATTTTATAAGAAATTTCGTCTAAATTTGATCGAATAGTTTCACAGTATTTGGGTGTCGAGTTGATGTGAGACATTAAAGAGGAAGAATGTTATATTTGTAAAATCTCAGCGAATGAATTTGAAGTAAATATCATATTTCCTTGAAAAAGCATGTATCAGATTGTCAGGCGAAACGTTGTATTTCAAATTCATTCGCTGAAATTTTACAAATGCATTTTTCCTCTTTATGATATTATTTTGTTAAAGTTGATTGTATGTTGTTCTATGTCATAAGGATTGTTTCAACTCAACATTATCCTTTTATGCTAATATGTAGTGTCCATTCAAACTTGAATAATACCCATGCGTTTTCAAGTTTGCTATCTGTGTTCCTTTCACTCAGATATCTTTAAATGTTATGTGGTTGGAGTTGATAAGGATCACTCAAAATCAGAGACATATCAACTGAGCTATTCAGGTATTGGTTGACATCCTATAGGATTAAGCAGACATAGCATTGTTTACTGTTCACTGATCAAGCAATGCTATCTTTGACATCTATTCATTCGGGTTCGAATCCTGCTAGCGGGATCGTGGATGCGCACTGCTGAAGAGTCCCACAATAGGACGAAACGGCCATTCAGTGCTTCCAGGTTTCCAATCGTAGTCTAACATCAGTCGGTTCATGATCTCAATCAAAAACTTAACAATCTCCACAACCCCTATACTAACAATATTACAGTTGGATTGCTTATTATACTAATATTATTTAATTTTATCGAATTGTAGTAATATTGATTATGGAAAGAAATCGTATAGCTTTAACGTTTTACGATATGGGTGTAGTGAAATTTGGTAAATATCAATTGAAATCAGGTATAATCTCTCCAATCTATGTTGATTTACGAATTCTTATTTCTTCACCTAAATTTATGGTGAGTTCTGTTTTATTTACTGTCATATATATCAGGTTATTTTATTTATAAAATAAATATAATATCGCTGTTTGAAATCATGAGTCAATTGAATCTAGACCACCATAGAAAACCTGGAAGCACTGGACGGCCGTTTCGTCCTTGTACGGGACTCCTCAGCAGTGCGCATCCACGATCTCGCGCCCCGCGAGATTCGAACCCAGGACCTATCAGTCTCGCGCCAGGCGCTTAACCGACCAGACCACTGATTCGGCATCCAACGGTGTTAATGTGTAACTTCAACCAATCCACGAAGTTGCGCCACCGTACACCATTGTAGTATTATAGTATTATTATGTAAGGGATTCATATTTTTACTATTGTTAATATTCAAAACTGAGTTGATCAGTCTCTGTTTGTATGTAGATCACTTTGGATGCATATCTTGATGTTTAGAATTAAAATTTTATTTTATTTTGAAAATGCCTTGTAGAGTAATTTATATTGCATGTAAGCGGTAATAATTCCTAGCTGTGATTCGTATCTGGATGCCACAAATCTCTTTCTTTTTATACTCTCATCTATTTCAGGAAACTATCTTGCAAGAAAGATTTTTTGTTAACAATCAAAATAAATTGATTTATCCAAACATTATTAAGGTATCAATATGTGCACAATGATTTTGAAAGTAGGTTGAACATTTAGCGGGACTTAAAAGAATCAGTGAACAATACTAAAATAATGTCTGTTATTTAAATTTCCAAATTGGAAGTGACCAAATAATCAAGTCAGGAAGTAATTCTCTCAGAATTTAACATTCCTAACACAAGAGTTCGGCACCTTCGTTTCCTGGTTATATAAAACTCATCAGCTTAAAGTACATTCATCTCACTTTTACTGTTACATTTTCGTGAATATCATCAAGGAAAGAATTTTCCACCTTCACCGACTAATGTACATATATTCTGTATGTAGTGATTGTCATCCTAAATATCAGTGATGGATAAATGCAAACTTGATGACTTTTGACGTTAAGTGGTTGGAAATAATTGGCAAGAAGCTGTGAACCTAGATTTCATGCTAGTTTGGGTTCTTCAGGAAGGTTTACCTGCAATCTTGAAAGGACTGATTGTGACCATAGGATCTGATCCTGCTTCATCTTATTTAATAGCCCTAAATGTCACCATTTGCGCATTCGAGCTACTGCTGACCTATACGACTAAGATATTTACACTTATATGTCATCGTGTCGTAAGTAATGTCACGTTTGTTTAGTCGTTGGTGTTGATCAGTCGAAAGCCAGTTAACATGAAACCCATATTCAGGGTCTGCTACTGATTATCTCCAACCATTCGGCATCAAAACACAGAACATAGGATATTTGGTCACTTGGACTAGCAGCAACATGTGCAACTTGATCGACAAAATTCAATCAACATTAAGGGATCAATATGCCATTGATTACGTTTTACTAATCGATCAATGTAAATCTTATGACCAATTATATATACATCAGTATGTTAAAAACAAAATTTCCTTATGAGAAAAACTTAATATATGAATAGCTGCTTTCGTCAAAACACATATGAATGTCTATTAACTAACAATTTCGGTCGTGACAATACATGATTTTATCATTTAATGCAAGTGTAAAGCTAGTTTTTGTCACTAGTTTCAGCTAGAAAGTAATTAAAAACAAAAGTGATAGCGAACGAATTCTTTGTCCTAACTTGAGATTTCTAGACACTGAACGGCTATCCTTGTTCATGAAATCTAACGCGGGACTTTAAACTTACTATGTAGTGGTTTGGATTATCCCCTTGCTGATATTTTGACCGAAATCTGATCATTCCTGCTTAGCATTTGTACATCCTGCGCAGATTGCTTCAATGTAGCCAATATGATGACTTAAGCCATTACATATTAAATTGAAATCCATACCCCGCTGCACAAGTCAACGACTACCTGGACTCAGTAGCTGAGTGGATCTTTATGGTACTGGCCTGGAATCCAGGGGTGAAATCATGTGTACCTGGCTAATGAGCCCCCAAATGGAACGAAACGCGGATCATGGATTTCACTGTTACTCATATTCCATCTATTTTTTAATAACCAATTGTCTTTTTCGTTATTTTTCTTTATAAATAAAAGAGTATTCTGACTAGATTTATTTATTTGTATCTAAATTTAGGATGAAATTGCACAATCACTTATCGATTTGTTGCCAAATAATGGAATTGATCTTATATGTGGTGTGCCATATGCCGCCTTACCAATAGCAGCGGTAATTTGCATGCTTTTTTAAACGAAAAATTGTTGCTTAGCTATGTTATGCTGAATTATAATTTTATACAATTTCCGATGTTTATTGATAACTTATAATTTTAACTATGTTTCTCTCTAGTAATCCAATCACACAGGTTTATTGAACAAATACATTTCACTACTGAAAATTAAGGATAAGTAACAAACTGAATGTTCCTGGTTCCAAATCTTGGTGAATTTGTAGGTGTATACTGGTGAGACGAGTCTCATACTAGGACGAAAAAGCTGTCCACTTTTTTTCTGGTTTTCAATGGGACACTCTAACTGACAAATACAACCTATGAGCGAAATATTATTGACTTGATCAATAAGACAAAAAGTGATCGTAATTAACAATAACAGTTTATCGTATACATGACTGAAAATGATGACAAACTAATAGTTTAATTGTTTGTAAAAAGTAGGGATTTATATGACTTCTAAGCTAGATAGAGAAAAACGAACATTCTTAACATTGATCAAATAGTTTGCTTATGTGTATGAAAGAAAATTTACTATCCAAGTGTATGAGTTTGGATTACTTTAGTGATACTAACCGGTTGTTCATATGATAAAGTGTTAGAATGAGTCCAAGGAGGCGGCTAAAGACCAGTACTTCAAAGAGTCAATTATTTTAATCAATAAATCAACAGCCCATTAATTCGTTCTATACACTTTCATGATAATTTTATGGGAGAGTAATACTGTATTATTTGATTATTGATAAGTAATCAAGTAATTGTTTTCTGATAATCACTTATTGTCTTTAATGATGCCTTGTGTATTATCTTAATCAAACCACTGGTCAACAGCTTTTTTAGTTCTATCAGATTTGTTTGTTTCATGTTATTGATCCGGTCTGTCACAATATTTAAATTAGAGTATTTATATTAGTCCCACGCCATTGGAACATGTCATGGGTAAATAACGAATAAATATTAATTACGATAGTTAAGATCATGAGTCAATTCAAGTTAGATCACTATGGAAAACCTAGAATCACTGGACGGCCAACTCGTCCTATTTTGGGACTCCTTAGCAGCGCAAATCCACGATCCCGCCTTGCGAGATTCGAACGTAGGACCTATCGGTCGCGAATGTTTAACCTCTAGACAATTGAGTTGGCCGGCATCCAACAGTGTCAATGTCTAACTTCAACTAACCCATGAAATTGAACGATACATCCATTATTGTCTTCAGTGAGTTACTATCTCACAACAGAATCATGATCTCAACTATTGAAATTACTGTAATATTCATAAAAACCCCTTCTGATGCAAATATTAATTAGTTAATTGGTTTTATTTATTAATACTACACGTGAATAACTTGTGCTCTTCATATCGTTTGATATCATTTTAAAAAATATGATAGATGTGCACGACAGATTAGAGACTATAAAATTAACATGACTAATTTTAAAATTCACTATTTTTAAACGAAATTAACATCTTGTACTCGATCCTAATGAAAGTGAGCAGATAGAAGTAGTCGAGAAGTTCGTGTACCTAGGTAGCTGCATAAGTGCTGGTGGTGGCGTGAGTGATGAGATCAATGCACGTATAGTGAAAGTCAGAGCGGCTTATGCCAATCTGGGCCATCTTTGGCGCCTTCGTGATGTCAGTCTGGCTGTAAAAGGTCGGATCTACAACGCGTTGGTGAGAGCAATTCTGATCTATGCTTGTGAAACCTGGCCTCTCCGAGTTGAGGATGTTAGACGACTCTCTGTGTTCGATCATCGCTATTTCCGAAGGATTGCTGACATCCAGTGGCAACACCATGTTAGTAATGCAAAGGTTCGGCATCGTGTGTCCGGGCGCAGAGACGATTATGCAATTGGTGTCACCATCTTGAAACACCGACTTCGGTGGCTTAGACATATTCTATGAATGTCGTCCCAAAGAATTCCTCGTCGTGCATTATTTGCTGACACTGGGACTGGTTGGAAAAAGCAGAGAAGTGGTCAGTGTATGACATGGTGTTGTGGTATGAAAGAAAGCTGCATAGGACTGGCATCTGTTGGTCCTTCACGACTACCTGGTTGGGGTCCTAGAGATGGTGCAACACAATGGCTAGAGAAGTTATGAGATATGGCTCAGAATAGAAGCCAGTGGCGATCCTGCTGTAACCTTCTTTTCTTTCTTCATAGAGAAATGGTTGTATCTTCCTTAACTGAAAGATTTCTTCTGATTGTGCGTTTCTGTTTCCGCCGTTATTTTTATTATTACACTACCTTACACTAATTTGTTCGTTATTGTTCTTTTTTTTTCTCTTCGAATTCTCATTGTTATTGTGTGGCGCATATGTATCTGGTGCCTACTTGTACCAATATTTATGTGTTCGAATAAATAAATAAATACCTAATGAAAGTATTGACACATACTGTCAAAGACTTTGAGGATACAATCAAACTACCTTTTAACAAACGTAAAATTTAATCATTCTGTTGTAGATTGTTAAAGATTTTTTAGTTTTCAAAAGTTCCTACACATCATTTCAACTGAATAATCTAGAAATGATTTTTGTATTTTTCGTTTATTTAAAAAGTGTATTTCTGTTCGTAAAAATATTCCTATGGTGATGTGTCGAAAAGAGGCAAAATCTTATGGAACTAAACAAATGATTGAAGGTATATGGAAGAATGGACAAAACTGTGTAATCATTGAAGATGTTGTCACTTCTGGTAGTAGTGTTTCTTCAGTGGCTCAGGTAAATGATTTCAATTGATTAGTTATCGTTTTCATCCGTATAATCAGAAGTCAGAAACTAGGTGTCTATATATTGGAGCATTCAAAGGCACAAGATGAATTTGTATGCTTGTGCGGGTATTTTGAAAGCTAACTATTACTCAAGTCAAATGTATTGATCTAAACTCTTCAAGTGTATATAACTTTTAACATGGGTTGTTGATGAAAATTTAGTTAATACCCGTATCTTATTGACTTTAATGATTAGTTGCAATATAAATTGGTTAATCTTTAGAAATTGAGAACAGTTCTGAAGTTACCCATTTATCAAGTACAACTTTACGTACAAGCCTTTAGTCATGTTTATGTGTGAAACTACTCGTTTATCCTAACCAAAGTAAACAGAATGAGTTCAAAACTTCAGTTCAGTAGGTGAATATCAAATACTACAGTTTATTTTTGTAAACCCATACAATAAGAAAATATGATTGTGAAGAAATAGTGAGAGGAAGTTAAGTATCATAGAAAAAGAGGAAGAAAATTGCAGCAGGTTCCCCACAGGCTTCTATTCTGGGCCATGTCTGATAACGCCTCAAGCCATAGTGTTCGAATATCTTTAGAACCCCAACCAAGAGGGTTGTGAATGAGCAGCAAATGCTAGTCCTATATAGCTTTCCTTCATACTACGACACGCCACTATATACTAATCACCTCTCCGCTTTTTCCAACTGTGAAAAGAGAAATAAAGAAGCAATGACGGAAACGGAACCTATTTTCGGAACCCTGTTTCACTCGATTTGAATTTCGTACAATACTAACATCTAGTTTTGTTCCTGGTTTATTCTATAAATTATAAGCTTTCATTTGATGTATGGTTCACTGCCATACTCTTTTCTGTTCCAAAATTATTATGGTTTGAACGTAATCTTTTGTTCTTCATTTTGCGACCCTATTCCCTAGTTTGCACTTAATTGTATTTTTCTAGTTCTTTGTGCGTTTCGATCGCATCAGTCATCCATTTATTCATGTGTCTTTTTGCGTTAATCCGAATCAGGAATAAATCAACTAGTGTTCCAGCCTGTCTTCTCGCTTGCCAACCAATCAGACAATAGGATCGCTTTCTCTCTCCCCTCAAGGCCGTTTAGTCACAAAACGGACTCACGCGTTATGAATCCCAAAATTTAGGTAGATAGCCTATCGTGTCGGGAAAAATTCTCTCCTGTATATTAGTGGGCAGACGAATCAAAGATGTAGCACCATCCAATCCCAGTGTCGTCAATTAATGCTGGAAGGACACCGAAATCAGTGTTTCGAGATGGTGTCACTGGTTGAAGTATTGCCACTACCAAAACCCACGTTTCCGTACATTCGCATTACCAACATGGCGTTGTCACTGAATGTTAGCAAGCCCTCGAGTGCAATGATGATTAAACGCATATAGTCGCCTAACATGCGGAATTTAGAGTGGTCTGGTTTCTCAAAAATCGAACGAGACTGCTCTCGCTGACGCGTTGTATTGACATAAGTGATGAGATCATTTTATATATAGTGAAGTTCAGAGCGGCTTATGTCAATGTGGGGCATCTTTGGTCTTATGATGTTGTTAGTCTAGATGTAAAAGTTCGGATCTACAACACGTCGGTTATAATTAGGTTCTGCTAGATTATGGCCTAGTTATAAACGAATCTAAGCCTATTACAGATATATGAAGACTGTAAATTATTAGTTTCAGTCACTCAAAGAGGTACTGACTTCCGGTATTAAGTTTCTATAATGATAGGAACTAGTGCATCATAACCTTGACTAACATTCGATTATCAGTGTTTGTCACCCCATTCACATCTAGTTTCTAACTTGTTTTTCTCTGTTTACACTCACAAATATGTAGTTCATCATTTTATCATGTAATTTACAGCTTCTTCGGCAGTCTGGTATATACACGGAACATGCAATTATCATAATTGATCGTCAACAAGGAGGACCTGCTTATTTAAAAAATCATAATATTAAAATTGCCAGGTACTTTATAGTGTTTTTTCTTCGTGTAATCGTTTTTTTTATTTGGTGAAGTTGGTCCCTGTTACGTGAGTATGATTCCAGCTGTAATGAATAAAATCGATTGGATTTTTGTTTGATCATGATACTAGGATGTATTCAGCTTAGATTTGGAACTCCAGTCATTGTGAATAAAATATTCCAATTACTTCATGAAGTTGGTAGGTTAAGCGTTCGCGCGCGAGACTGGAGGCCCTGTGTTCGAATCCCGCGAGCGGGATCATGGATGCGCACTCCTGAAGAGTCCCACAATGGGACGAAACGGCCGTCCAGTGCTTCCAGGTTTCCAAAGGTGGTCTAACATCAATCAGTTCACGATCTCAATCAAAAACTTAATAATCTCCACAGCCCCTATACTAGTGAGCAATGTTTACCTAGTTTAGGAAATTCGATTGCTAGACGTATTAATAAGTCTGTGTTGATAAATTTATTTAATTGATTTCATTTACTCAAGTATTCAAATAATCAGCTGATATTTTTAGGTTTCATAAATTAAATGTAGGTTGTAAATGTTAATAATTTGTAATGAGCCTATATTTTCCTATGAGTTTACTATTGACAGCCAACTCATTAATTAAGTACAGATTTATGCACTCAATCTCGAGTCACATTTATTGTGTGAGCATTAGTGTGATAGTCATCAAACTATTTGATCAACCTTTTTGACTGAACAATTAAATCGGTTTCCTAAGCTCTTCTAATAACCCCAGGCTAAATCTACATGACAACTTGAACACGAGAGAAAAGGCGAGAAATATGGAGAGAACGCTTTACTTCAAGGTTCGTTTATGTACAGAAAATTGAGGGTATTTATGGCATTCCAGATGGCCTCGGTCTTCTGGGACGCTACTAAAATAGTAGCAGGATATTTGATCATCTAATCGGAAATGTGACACTTGACTCTTCACTTTCTAAATGTTTCTGAGGAACTTCTATTCAATGTTGATTGGATAAAATGTTCGCTCTGGGCTTTTTTCGAGGAATATTCTGGGTTTCCCCAACATTATTAAAACCAAATCATTTTAACTTGGGATTTAACCTGCTGTCTTGTTAGAATTCAAACGTTTAAGCTATTCCGTCACCGTTCTATTTGTTAGCTGTGGTAATTAAAACCAGATCAAGTTGAGATATATGATGATTTATGCAAACAGTTGGAGTTGAAGATTCAACCTTAAAATGGTTCAGTAGAATATTGGAATGAAGTTAGTTTTAATTCAAGAACGAGTTATCTTGGAATCACTTTGGTTGTAAAGATCATTCATTATATTATCATGAATTAACAAGTACATTTGGTATTCTTTTTTCTCTGGACAATTCTACTTTTTTTCGGTTTGTATTTTGGCCTTATTCATCAATCGAATTTATTTATCATGTATACAAATGATTCCTATTTAAGACTCCTGTTTTTTTGGTGTCATTTTGTTTGTTTCACGAGTAATTTTGATAGACATTGCTGTGTATTCATATTGTAAATCATTGACATCATAGGTATAATGTTACATTTCTCGTTGTATGTCCGCTATTCGTATTGATGCTTTGTTATTCAAACTCTCCGCAAATAACAGTGGAAACAATCTAATTATTCGTCTCGTTGTATGCTGAGTATAGAAGCTTCTTATTATGTCTGTATTGTTTACTTTACTGTAGTTGTTTAGTTAAGTGAATGGTTCTTGTTGACTAATTTGGGTTTTTATTGTACTTTTGATAATGTAGGAATTGTGTTAAGTGATCTTACTTTGACTAATGTTAAGAGTGACGAATTCCCGAATTTAGGTTTTGGTGAATTATCCATTAGTGTGCAGCTGAAGGTGCGGTGGCAAAACCAAAATGTGGCATCAGTCTCTGAAGTCATTGATTATTGCTCTGAGCCATGTTGATAAGCGCAAACTCCCCTAGTTGGATTACTCACAATTATCGTAACCAATGACTAAAGGCTCAGAATAGTCTTCAATGGCCCGAACGCATTGTGCTTTTATCTTCTCATAGATCTTGAATTTCAAAATGATCCTATACTTTTCTATTCCATAAATTCTTTCTCTCTTCTCGAATCACTACCATTGTCCAACTTTCGTCCAATGAGTTTCACTGATCCCAAGCACCTCCAGGTTGTATCTCCTCATTTCTGCAGCGATTTGGAAGACTCTCCTGGCCTCCCACATTGTACGAGTATTCCATTTACCTAAATAAATGGTTGCTCTAGTTGTCAGAAGGGGAATAGGCCTCATGACTTCCGAAGGAACTCTGTTTTCATCATAAGGCGTCATAACTCTTCTAAATGAAGACCTTCTGACTCCCAGGGCAGAGTTTAAATAGTTTGAATAATTTTTTCTGGTTAGCGTTTTTTAGCGAGTTAGTTTTCTACGGGATAGGGTCGCTAACCCCATGCCCAACCCTCCTCTTTTATCCGGGTTTGGGACCGGCAGTAGCCCCCGGAGGGACTCCATTATATACACTGATTCAATTGCTACATATTTGCCTAAATTTCAATCTATGTACACATTTGCTCATTTTCGTCATAAGCTTATTCACATATATATAAATGTATTTTTCTTATATTCTAGTTTATTCACGTTAACTGAATTGTTAGAGATTTTACATCAAGAAAATCGTATTACTAAAGAACAGTTTGATGAAACTACTTTATTTATTCATAGTTCACCAGCACCTAAGGTAACATAATGATTTATACTGAAAATATTTTTAAAAAATGTCTTTTCTTAGAAATTTACTAGACATTAGTAACTAATTCGTGGTAAAGTACAACTTGTATTCATGAAGAATACTGAATATTACATATTGTCTGTCATACTTTAAGGGCAGAATGACCAATTATTGTTTAACTGAAGTTGGTTCTTGATGTAAACTACATATATATTGAATTGTCTCGATAGACCCTTTATTTCGTTAATTTTATTATTTGGTAGTAAGTTTATAAAAAGTTAAGGATGAACAAAGTGTAATGTGGCATCAGCCCATGAAGTTATTGACTCTTGGTCTGAGCCGTGTAGGTAGTTGCACACCATCTGTTTGGGGTTCACGTAATAACTGTAATCAGTGGTTGATAGCCTTAAGCGATTACGGTTCAGAATTGTTCACTATAACGCATACGTATTTACTTTTTTTTTCAATCTTGCTCTGGATCTTGTATTCTAGTGTTCCTTTGTGTCACTTTGTATCCCGTTTTCTTGAACAATGTTCTCAATGTTTAGTCTTTCTCATTGTTATTACTACTATATTATTTCAATTCTTTTCTTATTTATCTTGTTAATTTCATCCCAGTGTACTATTGTAGTTCAATGCACACTTGTCTTAGACCATATGTCGATGGTTACCAACTGGACTGCCTTCATGTTTTCATTTCTAAAAGTGTATAGCTCACGAAATGTTACTTCATATTGTTTTTTATCTTAGATATGTAGGATATTAACCAATAACCTTCACAATTCCTTCGTTACCGCTAGTTTGTCAATGACATTTCTCATTTACATCTCTTTTGTTAGGTCCCATCTGAATTGAAATTTACATGTTCTCAATTGGATCGATTAAATCAGATTATCCAATCAAAACAATCACGTTTATGCGTAGCTATGGATATTTTAGATCCAACTAAATTACTTCAATTAACCGATGAAATAGGACTAGAAGTTTGTGCTATCAAATTACATTTAGATATTTTACTATCTAACACAAATCCTGAAATGATTATCCAAGGTCTATGTAATCTGTCTGTGAAACATGGATTTTTAATTATCGAGGATAGGTAAGTTATAAAATGCTGTTAAAACATTTGTTTATTTTAAGTTTTCACCATAGCTTTCTCTTGAATTCTTTTGCATGCGTATTCATATAATATCTACTTAAAACTGTATAGTTTTGTTGTAAGTTCCACTCATTAATGTCAATGTTTATCTTTTCTCTTCCTCCAAATGTGAAATGTTAACTCAAGGATTTATTTGTGTCACCGCCTGAATTAATGATGAGGAGTTAAGTAGTTGAACGCATCGATCGCTTCACTTATCTTGGGAGTCTCATCAGTACTGATGGTCTGATGTCTGATGAACTCTCGTTACGAATTCATTAGTCTCCATTAGCTTTTGCCAACTTGCGTCACTTATGGCATAGGCTAAATATCCGTCTTCCAACCAAAAGGCGAGTTTACTTCACAACGGTTCGCTATGTTCTAATCTATGGATGTGAAACGTGGCTGTTAAGAGTAGAGGATATTCGCAGGATACTGGTGTTCGATCATAGGTGTCCACGAAACACTTCGTGTATTTTGGGACAACGGAGTAAGAAATGTCTTGGTTAGGCATAGATTACCAGGTAAGGATGACAAATGGATTGATGAGGTAGTAAGCCTTTTTCAGCTGAGTTGGTTGGGACATGGGTTACGTAAGCCAAACCACCACCTACCTCGACGGGTGATGATTTCTGGTGCAGGAACAGACTGGACAAAGGCTAGGGGCGACCAAACCATAACATGATACCAGTTCAGGAATTCACTGACAAGTGAACTCAGCCATATTAATAGGCGTAGACTACGTGGTTGGGGTTGGCATGATTATCGTAACCAATGGTTAGAGACTTGGGATGATATGGCTCAAAAACGTTTGCAATGGTTCAGGTGCACACGTTCTTCATCCTCCCCCAAATTCTGGGATTCTAAATTCCTTGTAACCTTTTTCGTTTTTGTTTCTCTAATTTATATTTTCTTACCAAGTCGTTTTTTTGATGCCTGATCTTTCTGTTTATCTCTGATACTGTTACTACCTCTACTGTTCTGGGATTTGGCCGAACAACTTCAGCGCTCTGTGTTGATGGTGTATGGTGACTTGATCCGTTGTACATATATACAGGTTCTACGTTGTGGCTGACTGAGTGTTTACCTTTCCTTACATCATAGAAAACAGTTCAATTTTACGATAGTTTTTGATACAATAGTTGAAAAAATTGTTTACTTCATTCCATGTTCGATTATTCGATGTGTCAAGTGTTCGGATGCACTTAACAGAGACATCCATGGACTCTTCATTTTATTCAGGTTGTCACTCATCATTGTTTCCTCTAGGAATCGAACCTACATCAATTACTTTGACAGTTAGCAGTGCTGCTACTATTCTATTCACTGTCATCCTATGGGATTCGGATTGGCTTTCATCACTATCATAGTCAGAGTCGTCATCATTAAGCTACTTTGGTCGGCTTGTGACTGATCTAATTGAATACCGTTATTAAGCTGTGCTTCTCTCAATTCGCCTATACTTTCACTGTTGTAGACTATCTCGGATAATAAGCTTCTATACGCTAGTATTTAAGTGAGATACAATTTCACGATTAGTTAAACAATTCGTAGTTTACACCATTACATTTCACTATATTTCTCATAATTGCAACATTTTTAAGTATTCAATATCTAGTGTTATTATTCTTTATTGTATAAAGGAAATTGGCTGATATCGGTCAAACAGTATACAATCAATTATTGCATGGTGTTTATAGAATTGCTGAATGGTGTGATATGGTTACAGTACATTGTTTACCTGGTCCCGGTGTATTTGATGCCTTTCGTAAAGTAAATCAAAAATTACTAGAAAATGGAAAACATCATCAAATAGCAGCATTAGTAGTGGCTGAAATGAGTTGTCAAGTAAGTGAGAGAATAATAAAAGTTATTATTATAAATCGGTTCACCAGGTACACTTAGATTCGAACCATACTCTAATTGTAAGGGCTAATGATATTAACCGATTGCCCAAACCAACGTAGGTGGAGCAAGGTTATAATGTAGCACTTAGTGGCTGAAAGTCGAATGTCCCAACTATTAAACCACAGCTCCAAGTACGATAATTAAACAATGTCCATTTCTTTTTTTCTGTTTTCTTCTTCATTGGTTCGCCTGTTTGAAGTATTTTATTTTATTTGACCGCATAAACATTGGTACAACGAGGCGTTAAATACATATGCTCCACACAATAGTAATGAAACCAGTAGCAGTTACCATTGCTTGGAGTGAAGGATGTGATACTGTCTGGGTGCCCAAATCAAAGCAATTGGTTTCCTTAGTGGCCACACCGGGATCCTTTGACCTGAAGGTCTGGTTCACAAGACAGTGGAGCAACTTTAGATGCAACCCCATGGTATCTGGTGACCAAAAATTGGATCATACACCGCATGTTCCTTCAGGATTATGGAGTCCATGTGCACGATTGGTTTGGAATAAGGGTTTTCAAACTCCCCTTTATGTATCCTCCATATCCACCGAACCAGTTAAAGCTCCGGACATTCGCTTTTCGCCTTCTCAATTTCATGAACAACACCCGTGTTGCGAGAAGGCAGTGAGTAGGACTTCCATGGGAGTGGCTGTATACGCGTGGTCATGTGTGGACATTTAGAGAGGGAGAACGGACTCTCCTCACTGTTGGCTGTATCAGGGAGTTTGGGGGCTAAATTGAGGTTTGTTGGCAGGGGAGATTCGAACCCCAGGACCTTCGATCTCGTTCACGAATGCCCAAAATCTGGACCACTAAGCCGTCATCCGACCTTATTTCCGTCCGGTGCACCAAGCCAAATGATTTAATTCCACAACTGTAGTTTTGTCGTTCTAGACAATAACTGTAGCCTCGTGTAGAAGTGCTCGATCAGTTCATATCGATGAGGCTTGTTTTTGATTGTTTATCTTCATAGTCTTTGTTATTTGTATTTGTTCTTGGATTCCTGTTGACTGTATCATGTGGTAAACGTCTATGGGAGTGATTAAACTTCCTTATATGAGTTGATAGATTGGATCTAAAACTGTGAAACATTCTCGATGAGTACAATGTACTTCTTTAATTGACATAGTATCTCAATAACCTTGGCTTAGCCTTCCTCATTTTTTATATTATGTCTACATGATTCTCCTATATTGGTTGTAAACCCAACAATTAATTCCGTTTTCCAGCTCCCAGTTTCATTTTTTTTCGTACCCGTTCTTTTTTTTGTGTATTACACTATTCGACTTAAGATAGCGGAGATTTTTAGCTCAGGTCGGTGATTTTGGTAGAGCTTCGTTCTTTGAGCTGGATGCTTTAACATCAGTCAAACTTATCAGCAAGAACGAATTTAAATACAGAAAATAACAAACCTATCACCCCTCCATATATAAAGAATATACCAGAAATTACATGATTATTGAGGCCGTTTGGATTAGATGTAGCACGTAAACAAATAAATCCTTCCAATCAATCCTATGCAAACTGAAGGACGAAATGACAAGATGAAAGAGGCCAGGTACGATTTACATGACAAATTGTCCCGACTGAGAGAAACAACATCTGACAAAGTAGCTACACTCTTCATCTTCGTCTGTATGAACATCATCTAGCTGTCCAACTCCATGCTGTATTTTCGCTCATATCAATGCATGTGGACAGTTGTGGACTTAAGTTCGACTGGAAAGATACAGACAGCGATAGGCTACAGGTCAACAACAACTAGCCAAGCTCAAGTTTGGTAAGATTAGCTGTTAGATATATGTTGTTCGGAAAAATAATGAAAGTTTTGTGATTAAACTATCCAGCTCAAAGAACGAAACTCCACCGAAACTATACTAATAGCTTATGTTATTCCCAATTATTTCAGAAAACCTCTCGATTGTAATCCATCTATATTTCTAAGCATTTACATGTTATTTCTATCGTTCAGTGTATTTTATTGTTGAAATTGTACTTTCCTATCATTCTTATTAGCTCACTTTCAGTATGTGTGTCACTTATTGAAACTCGATTCGAAATAACTTCCCTATTAGATGTAGCCTAAATTGATAATTTTTTTGGCAAATTATAATTGTATTTATAACTCTTGTAGAAGTTGTCAGACTAACACGAACAGTTAGGCATCGATCTTGACTACATGGATGATTTCTTCACTCACAATACCCAACACACACACACACACACTTGTATCTCATCATGTTATCTTGAAACACCACAAGGCTTGTGTCCAGTTTTCTCTACCATATACTTTTCTATGTGTTTCACATTCAACCACCCAATAATGAAGGAGGTCCTCGAAGACTTTCTGTCAATTAATAACCTAGGTGATCCCATCATAACTGAATTGATATAATTCCGGTCATCATTAAGTAGTGGACGACAACGTTTCATTCACTTATCACTACTCTCTGACTGAATAATGCAGGTGTTAATTTTTCTTTTCTTTTATATGTATATATACGTATGGATTTACAGGGAGCTTTGACAACTGATTCGTATAAGGATCAGTGCACTAGTTTGATCGAAATGAATACTGATATCATTGGCGGTTTTGTAGCCCAACACCCTATATCAGGATTCAATATTTGTTCGTCAAATATTTCCTATTGGGTACCAGGTAATGGTTTCTGTGATATTTTTACAATACCTATATATATATATATATCCCACAGGCGGGATCGTGGATGTACACTACTAAGGAGTCCCATACCTGGACGAAACGGCCGCCCAGTGCTTCTAGTTTTTCCATGGTAGTCTAGTTTCAATTGACTCATGAGTTCAATTATATATATTGGAAATAACCATTAAATGCAACACCAATTCAGGTGTTGATGCAGACCAGTCCTGCAGTAACAACTTGCATTTAGAGGGAGAGAAGCGCATTCCAAACATTCTGGCATTGTTGCTCAGTGCTACCAGAAGACTCTGCATTTTGTCAGCGTCTTCACCAAACAGGACTATGTCGTCTGCGTATTCTAAGTCGATAAGTGGACCTCCTGGATGGAGATCAATACCCGAGAACTCAGTTATTTCCATCAGTAGATCTATGATGAAGTTAAACAAAAATGGGGAAAGTGGACAGCCTTGACGGACACCACTTGAGGTTGCAAAAGTAGATGAAAGTTTGCCATAAGCTCTGACTCGACTAGTAGTGTTCGAGTAAAGAGCCTTTACAAGGTTTATGTACTTCTGGGGTACGCCTTTCAATGACAGACACTGCCACAGAATCTCGCGGTCTACAGAGTCAAATACTGCTTTTAAGTCGAGAAAGACCACCATTGTCGGACGCCGATAAGTATGCCTGTGTTCTAGAATCTGACGAATGGTGAATATGTGGTCGATGCAGCCACGACCAGGTCTGAAGCCAGCTTGGTTCTCTCGTATTTGCAGTTCACGAGTCTTAGTTAGGCGTCTGATAATTATCGAGGCTAGTATTTTAGATACTATATTAGTTAAACTAATCCCTCTGTGGTTGTCACAGGATGAAAAAATAATTGTTAGTTTCTCAAGTCTCCACTTGAAAATCTTTGAGCCGTAAACAAAAGTTCAGGTTAAACACCATACAGTTCAGTGTTTACTTGTCATTTTGACATGTTAAGAAGTTATGAATTAAAGAAGTATCTGAGTTTCTGCTCACCAAATCTATTGAGCCATTCATTTGGTAGACCTGTCAGTTGTATATTAAAGAAAATCAGTTGTCGTTTTTTTTTGTAGAAGGCATTCATTACGTATCTAGAACTGTCGAAGCACCATCCAGTCAGTCGTAAGCAACATGGAACCTGGCATATATTTGCATCTGTTCAAGTTGCCTTACTTCATCAACGCACCTAGATAAAAATATGATGGCTAATGCCAGAGTAGTAGAAGTAGCAGTCATATCGGTGGTAGTAATAAACATTAAACAGTGAAGTAAAAAGCATAAATATTTCAAGACAAAGTGAATCTATCCACTCTGAGTGATTTCATTCCATGTCGTCTAACGTCTTTAATCACTGATTATGATAGTCATGGAGACCCCAGCCATGTAGTCCACACCAAACTACACATCTCAGTCCAATAGTCATGGACTGATCCGTGGTCGAAGTATGAGAGCCACTAGCTTTCACCCAAACTACTAATATACCAGCCAACATCGGCATTAATATTGGTCGAATATACATATGGGATTGCTCACTTTCGGTCATCTCACACTCAAAACGTTTTTTTCTTATATACAGCAATCACTTTGTAAACCACCGAACTGAAATTTGATTTCATTTGGTTCACGACGTATCATAAGATTATCCAGTGTCACCTAGGTGATGATTGTCTCATTCCTCACATAAGCATACGTCACTAACCACGAGTTTCCACTTGAAAAAATATCTTCTCCCCGTTTCTTGTTTGCTTTATAATACTGTAGTGAACAAGAACACCAGTGGGGACAATCGAATGTGTTTAACACAAAATTACAGGACTTGTTAATCAAATCTAATAATCATAAAGTAAATGCTTAATTTGCAAAATGTCCACTAATTGTCTCAAAATGACCCAGACTTCATTGTTCTTGCATTTTCATACAAATTACATTTTGTTTCCATTCTTTACTATTCGATCCTCTTGTCTCTCTACTGCCAGACCTTCAGTTCACAACTAACATTATCTACTACTTATGTCAATATAAGTAGCACACACCACAATAATACCTCAAATTGTGCTTACTTAATGAAAAATACCACCTAGAAATTAAATTATTCCATACGAAAGCCTTTTTATTTTAGTTTTTGCCGATTATTTCTTTTAATATCATTCTTCTGTTATTTTGACAGGTGTAAAACTTATTAATTCCAATGATGATCTAGGCCAAAACTATAATACACCTGAACAAGTAAAGAAACGTTTTACAACTACATCCTCATCATCTATTGTAATGATTGTTGGCAGAGGAATAACTGAATCAGAGAATATTCGTCAAGAAGCTGTGAATTATCGTTTAGCATCCATTCAATAAATTCAATGAGTATATACATTTATGTATGATAAGTTAAACGACTTCTCTTTTGAATCATTTATGTGATTATACAATATGAGTTTTGGTTATTTTTCTAAATTAAAATACACAAATTTCCAAACACAATAAAAGTTTTAAATATTCACGACATAATTTCATATAAAGTAATTAAATGGAAGTCCTACTCACTGCTTTCTCGTGCCGGGGGTGTTGTTTACGAAAATGAGAGGATGAAAGGCGAATGTCCGGCGCTTTAACCGGATTCGAAACCAATGGTGCACATGGGCTCCAGTATCCTGAAAGAACAAATGGCGTATGAACCGATTGTTGGTCACTGGGCTTCCATCGGACTGCATCTCCTTACGATGCTCCACTGCCTTGTGGATCAGACCTTTAGGTCAAAGGTTCAGGGTGTCGCTCCTTAAGAAAACCACCTGCTTCGGTTTGGGCACCCGGGCAGTATCACAACCCTCACAGAAATCAAATGAGATTTGTGTGGCGCATATCTACCTGGTGCCCCCTTATACCAATATCTATGTGTTAAAATAAATAAAATAAATTCAATGGAATTCAATCTACGGGAAACATGAGTAAATAGGATGTTACGTTATTTCATTTTAGATAAGGGTTTACTTTTACCGATGATATAACGAATGGTTTGAAATATTTCGTTTCTGTCTCTCTCTCGGGTCTACTACGACAATACGTTATGACGATAATGAGACTAGTCATATTGTAGTGAACGAACACTCAGGTGGAGAAGACCAGTTTATTGTTAACTTTACAACCACATAGTGGTTTAGTCAAAAGTGAAAATGACACATCAAATACATCATTTGCACAACTCTGAATTGTCTTTTACATGCTTCATTGTTCCTTCATTTCTGTTATCTTGATTACTTTCAGTTTCCTACTTCTCTTCGTTCTAATCTTCTCAACCTTCTACTCGCAGACATTCCACTTCCGAATGATGTTACATACTACTTGTATCTGCAAACGTAGGTATCATACACCACAACTTTATATCAGATCCAGGATTCACGACTTAGAATAGAGAACCAGATTAATACAAGATAATACGTTACTCGATACAGTTAGGAGCAGTTACACTGAGTTCGGAGTAGAAATCAATGTGAGGAAAAGAAATCAAATATTTAATAGTCAATAAGCTAAGTGCTTGTTTGTTCACACTCAGTGACCAATCATATCTTACTCTCACTACCACATACCAAATGATTTTAAATAATTGATTCAGTGATTTGAAAAAATTGGCTCAGGAATCACAGTACAACTTTTCCCAAATCGGCGATTTCAGTAGGATGACGAAAACTGCGCTTATATTGTATTTGTGAGTGGATTGTACGAAAAAACATGGTCAATACTGTTAGACTACGGCTGTAAACCTGCTTTGTTTATATATTTTAAAAGTGTGCGACAAGATATTGCTTTGATCACTTGTTATCTTATCAATAATTTACTTTTACTTGTTTCAGTCATATACATAGTGGAATAACCGAAAAGTTTTTAAACGTTTTCTTGTCTATCAGAACTTATACTGTTACCGTCTGTCATCTGTGTAATAAGGTTCACTGTTTCTCTCCTGAATCATGTTTCTAATGTCCAATTATCTTATAACCTGATCTAACATAGGCACAAGTCTTTTTGATTATTAGCTAGTTTATTACTCGGTATTTCACAAACAAACTAAGGGTGGTTGTATTATTCTGAAATAATTAGTGACTAAAATACCTATAATTTCGTCGTTGGTAATAAACTCAATCGACGAATATTCTATTCGTGAAGACATGGGAATGATGCGTTATTATCAAGCAGTAAGTGATTTTACTACATAACTAGTGTTATTATGATGAAACACAGCAATTGTTTCATAGTGAGCCGGTGTTCCATTATGGTATGGTTAGGTTAAGTTGATCTCCCTGTCGCATATGTTACTTAAAGTTCTATTATGTTCTACTGTATGGAGCTGAAACTTGGAGAACTACTACAACCATCATAAAAAATGTACAAGTATTTATAAACAATTGTCTACGCAAGATATTCAACATTCATTGGCCGGATACTATCAGCAACAGCCTACTGTGGAAAATAATAAACCAGCTTCCAAGTGAAGAGGAAGTTAGAAAAAGACGATGGAAGTGGATAGGCACACATTGAGGTACTCATCAAACTGCATCACTAAACGCTAACTTTGAACCGTTGAGGGAAACGAAAAACAGGAATGCCAAAGAACACACTGTGTCGAGAGTTGGAAGCAGATATGAAAAAGATGAATAGCAACTGGAAAGGTTTATCAAGGACACAGTAGGATGGAGAATCCTGGTGAGCGGCCTATGCTTCTCTATGAGGGGTAACAGGCGTAAGTAAGTAATGTTCGTAAAGCGGATTACCTTTAGCTAATCCGCGATTCGGAGTATCTTTATTTTGCCATAGGTCACCAAGATGACGTTAAAATCGTTTCGGGCCCGACCAATTCATCTGACTAGCCAAGACAATCAAGTATCTAGCACCGTTTACGTATTTTTCATGAAACAATCTGTTATCTTTCTTTGATACGTTAGTCTCTTTTACTGAGTCTTCACCTAATTCTTATCTCTAATTGAGTGCTTTGGTCGGGTTAAGGAAATCTACCAGTGTAAGGATATGTATGCTTGATGAGAACGAAGGTTATCAAGATTTATAAATAGGCGAGAAGTGGAAATTAATAACAACTGCACTGAGTTGAAGTTAGAGATGCGTTGCAGCAAGAGAATGAAAAGAGTGATTTTGATAAAGAACCCGAATAAATATTTGCTTCGATATGCTCTACCACACCTGTGCTGTACTGAAATAAATAGTCACCATAACAAGTGTACCATATGAGAGCCAACTGCGCGATTGGTTGATTGACATTTTGCAAATGAAGGATTTACTGTATAGTTCTCAGATTCTACTAAAAGATTCTGTAATTTCGTGTTGTCTGCACCTATGTTCTCGTTCACTACAAAATGACTTCAAACCATGTTAATCTTTGTGTTCAATATTTTGTGTATAAGCATGTAACTTTACTAGAAGGATCAAATTCTACTGAGTAGTTATTTTCTGATTTCAACTCATTTGTGGTGGATGAGTTATAACAACAATTAGGTTTCATAAATATACACTACTCGACCACTTTGTATCAATGCATATAATCATCTATTGACTAGTAACAGGTTTTGCTAAACAGATTAAAGGTTATCCAGTTTTTGCAAATAAATATTAATTTTCTTTTCTTTTCTGTAACGAGAACTCAGAGGAAAGTTCCCTGAATCGTACATCTGAATGGCATTTTCCAATTTTAGTTTATTATTTTTTTCGGTCTCATGGTTAGATTTAGTTGCCATATAAAAAGTACTACCACTTTGATTTTATTTCCATTGAATACCAATTTTCTTCCTACATAGCTCACTTCATTTTTGAGTTTCATTATTGGGAGTTATTGTTGAAGCGTTATTGTTAGGATAGTAGGAAAAATATACCAATAATTATCATGTTAAGTCTAATGATGTCCTCGGAGTTTAAATGGACACTTCCTATTGGTCGATATTTGTTCACTTGTTAAATATTGTACAAAATGTTGTTTTCTATTTTATGGTACGATGTGGTTTGTTTGTTTGGTATATAAATAGAGTATGTCTGAAATATAATGATTCATATCTCAGAGGCTGAGACTTGTGTTCTGGGCTCAACTGACTGGGCTAGACAGAGGAGCGGGACCAATCGGGACCCTAGGTCGTTCGCTACGTGTTATACGTGTCACTGTAATCGATCGATATAAACGCTGCTTATCAAACCCTGCAGTCCACCCGTTACAACAGTTATATAGTTCAGTTGACACCTTTTTAAGGTCGTTTGTAAATAGTAATTTCTGTAGGTGGAACCAAACCAAATATCAAGATACAACAGGTTAATTAATTTACTAACTGATTCAAAAGATACTTATTCATTAGACGCTAATTTATAACACATGTTATTAATCTTATTATGTTTAATAGAGAAAATAATTCATGTCAATATATATCAGGATGGGTATTCGTGGACATTGTAGTAATTTTAATAGTTGAATTCATGAGACGATCTAAGCTAGATCACCATTAAAAACCCTGAAGCACCGGAAGGCTTTTTCATCCTAGTATAGAACTCCTCAACAGTGCACATCTACAATCCCTCACGTGACATTCGAACTCAGGACGTTTGGTCTTGCGGGTGAACGTTTAATTTCAAGACCACTAAACATACTGCTGAAAAGTCCAATACTAGAATGAAACAGCGGTCGAATACTTTCAAGTTTTCAATGGTGATCTAGCTTAGATCGGCTCATGAATTCAACTATTAAAATTAACATATCAAAACATAATACGACCAGTTTATTTGATAATAAATCAACAAGTTATTTCATCACTTCAATATATTTATCGTTTTATATCATGATCAGCAATAAATTAAACCATAAAACCGAAAAATAAACATTACAGATAAGTAAAATATCTTATTAAAAATAACTTTGAAAACAGTGAAGAAGAAGAAGAAGAAGAAACAAAGAATAATGAAATATAAGGATGATGGATACTTCTCTCCTTGGATATAATCATATGAGTATGCATATATATATATCTTCAATACACATTACATATCTCACCATAGGATAAAAGAAACACATTCAAATAAGTCTAGAATCCCCCTTTTCCCTCCCCCCCAAAAAAGAAAACACTAACATTAAATAAACAAATGATACCACCCATTAATTCATTATTTTTAAACTTTTAACAAATATGAATGTAAATGTTGTAGATCTTGTTTTGTCATAGAAATTTTTGCTGTATTCATAGTTTCACAATCACCATCAATAGTCGTAGTAGTAGTACTACCACCAGGAAATAATAAACGATAATGTAATGATGTAGTTTCATTAATATTTGATAAATTTAATAATTGTTTCATTTTCACTGATGGAAATGATGTGAAATCTGCTTGAATTAATGTATTTGGTATTTCAGTTTTAATTGCATCAAATGCACGTTGTTGTAACTAGGAGTAATATTATGAGGGAAAAAAAGAAAGTGGAATTGAAAAAAAGATCAATCAATACAAT